CATACACACTCTTGACACATCCAGTAAAAGATTAAAACAAATAATAAAATAAAATACAAAAAACAACAAGCAGGAGTTAGCACTGTCACTTCACAGCAAGAAGGTTGTTGGTTCAAACCCCAGTTGCCCCGGCCTTTCTGTGTGGAGTTTGCATGTTCTCCCCGTGTCTGTGGGGGTTCTCTCCGGGTACTCCGGCTTTCTCCCACCATCCAAAGACATGCAGGCTAGGTTAATTGGTGTCTCCTTAGGTGTGAGTGTGAGTGGTTGTTTGTCTATGTGTGGCCCTGCGATGGACTGGCAACCTGTCCAGGGTGTACACCGCCTTTCACCCGATGTAAGCTGGGATTGGCTCCAGCCCCCCGCGACCCTGTATTCAGGAGAAGCGGTTGACAATGAATGGATGAAACAACAAGCAGAACACCAAGTTATTGCACACTTCCCAGGCCTTAGCGTACAGATCTATATAAAATTTTGATTTGGTGGGTACTAAAGAGTATTTAAAACAGTTCAGTTTGGTTTTTGGGATTCTGCTCCTTCTACCAGAAGGCAAGAGCTCGTATTCCATTTGAAGGATGTGGAACGGGTCCAACAGTACTCTCCACACCTGCCTGAGTACAGACTGCTCATAGATAGACTGAAGGGCGAGCTTTTCAGTCATCCCCATCACCTTCATGGCAGTCTGTACCAGGCGCTGCAACTTTGATTTGGACTTTGTGGAGAGATTGCCAAACCATCGCCGTCATCCCATACCTGATGACACTCTTCATCACTGCCTGATAAAATAAAAACATGACTGTTCAGAAGGTCTCTCGCTCGGCCCATAGACTGCACCACCTAACATGCATGCGCAGTCTGTTGCGCCATGAATGCGGCCCTCGAGGAGGACACTGTTGTCACATCTTTTGTCTCTAGTTCAGAGGAGTTTTGCTGGACTTCTGGATAATGCTTCATTCATATTCTGGACTGCGTTTTTTTCCTTTCCATATTCCGTGTGCGTCCTTGAGAAGTGAGTACAGTGTCTAGTTTGTTTGGTTTATCACGTGTGATGTTGCCGTGTGTTTTATTATCCTCTCACTTTGTAGCATATATTATATATTGCAAAGTTTGTTTTCATGTTTATAATCAATATATATATAGTTTAGGTCGGACTTTCCCTCCCGTTTATTAGTACTTTCATTCTACAATAAACAAGTTGCAAGAAAAGGAGTGTGAGAGTGTCATTGGATTGGGAAGATTACCAACATCATCTTAATTGTTCTAACTGGACAAACTGTGGAGGTGTACAGCCACAAAGACACATCAAATAATTCATTCATTTATAGAGGTCTCAAGTTTGGGGATCAGAAGCCAACATCTCTTTTATAATGACGTTCTGGCTGACACCAAACACCCTCAGTCTACGTAAAAAATACAGCCTTTGCTGTAAACGGGAACATACATAGTCTACATGATCACTCCAGCTTAAGAGATTATCCAGGTGGATACCCAGATACCTATAAGAAGAGACCTGTTTGATCTCCTCCCTGTGAATGGACAGTGGAGTATGATCTCCCACCGACTGAGGGTCAAACACCATCTCCTCATTTTTTTTAGTGTTAATTGTTAGATAGTTCTATAAAATATTTAGCAATTATATATACTTAATTTTTTAGTAAAACCATATGTTATTGCAACTTGACCACTGACAGATGACATGGAAAATATAAGCCAAGAGTGTGTAACACTGTCACTGCACCACAGTCCATTATAAACCACATAATAGATGAAATTTTTATAAACATTGACAAGGGAAACACATTAATTCTCTCTGTGATTATGGACCATCGCCAAAACTGCCCACCAACAATAATATCTGACCCGTGGCTAGATTGTGGAGCTTTGATAGTGGCCAAAAATTTAAAGAAAAAAAATACTTTGATAGCGATGCTGAAATAAATCTCAGTCATGACAGCAACAGTTACTCACATAATCTCCTCCTCTTCAGTGGTTTTGCATTTCTGTTTTGGGCTACTGTAAAAACATGGCGGTGCAACATCCATGGAAGGGGAGGACCTGCAGTTAACTAGATGGAAGTTACTCATTCTAAGGTAATAAAAACATAACGGTTTATTATGTAAGGTCTTTATACATCACTGACAACAAAGTTCAACATCTTCTATTGCATTTCTGTCAATAGATCTTCCTAAATAATAAACACCTGTACCTTACAATCACTTAAATATCATTGACATCAAGTCAATTAAACTTCAGAGATATAAATCTGTTCAATAAGGAAGTGATTGTAAATCAATGTCACTTGTTTTTGTGCAAATAAAAGGGACAACAAGTGCACTGGAGAGGCAACAGCAACACAGCCCCCCAAAAGGGGATGGTTTTGCTGGTGGTGGCCACAGACAGTTGCTCTCTCCTTGTCCTTCCTGAGTAATTGTTCTGTAGTTGAGTTGTAGCGTTCTTATCACTTTTGGTAGCATGAGGCAGCACCTGCAGCCCATTCAGGTTGCACAGGTAGCCCAGCTCCTCCAGGATGGCACAATCATACATGCCGTCACAAGAAGGTTTGCTGTGTCTCCGAGCACAATCTCAAGAGCATGGAGGAGATATCGGGAGACCAGCCAATACACTACGAAAGCAGGGCCATAGCAGGGCATCAACCCATCAGCAGAACCCGTATCTGCTCATTTGTGCGAGGAGGAACAGGAGGAGTACTGCCAAAGCCCCACAAAATGACCTTCAGCGGGCAACTGGTGTGCATGTTTATCTCCAATCTGTCAGAAACAGAGTCCTCTAGTGGGATCTGTGCTCACAGCCTACAACCATGCAGCCCGACTGGCATTCGCCAGAGAACACAAGAATTGGCGGTACACCATTTGTTCTCTTTACAGATGAGAGCAGGTTCAGACTGAGCACATGTGACAGACAACGAGTGTGGAGATGCCATGGTGAATGTTACACTCCCTGCAACCCTGACTGCTGCTGTACCAGGATGAACTCCTCAGAGCCATTATCAGACCTTAGACTGGTGCAGTGGGCCCTTCGTTCCTCCTGGTTCGGGACAATGCCCAGCCTCATGTGGCCAGAGTGTGTAGGCAGTTCTTGGATGATAAAGGCCATTGATGCCATTGACTGGCCCTCACGTTCTCCAGACCTGAATCCTGAGGAAAACTGAGAAACTCTGGGACATTATGTTTTGTGTATCCGACATTGCCAAGTTAAGCCACAGACTGTCGAGGAGCTCACTGAGGCTCTGATCCCAACCTTCTGCCGTCTCATCAGGAGCATGCCCAGACGTTGTCGGGAGTGCATGCAGGAACATGGGGGCCATCCACACTACTGAGTCACATTATGAATGGATCAGCCTGTGATTTCAATTTTTTTAGCCCTCAATCAGTCGGTGATTTTGGTTTCCATTGACAGGATTACTGCACCGGTCTACTGGGCACATGCCCAGGACCCAAAATCCCAAAGGGGAATTATGACAGTATATCCAAATTCATGGTATTTTTAAATAATTTGAATATATAAAATTGTACATTAAGATGAGACTTATTGCTCTCCAGAGAGAATATTGACACGTTACAGCAGAACAAGAAACAATCTGAATAGGTAAGAAATGGTTAAAGAACTATTTAAGATCAATAAATACATCAAAATAGGAAAATTAAGCAAATTACATTCAAAAGCTATATACATTACCACATGTCCCGGGCCATGTATGTAACATGTGTTGAGCATTTGAAACTAAACAAATATATCTGTACAGAAGTATTACAAGTATATATAGTATTACCAAGTAACTCTGGAATTGTAATAAGTAACGTTTTACTTAGGCGCACACGCCTGTTTTCTCTGTTGCTTTACACAGTCACTATTCTGCTTTTAATGTGAAGACCGCACCAGATGTACAGTAAATGTCCAAACACACCACTAAGTGACAACAACATAGGTTTGCCCCAATTGTACATGTGCAATTGTACACTCACATGAGTATACACCACAAAATGCAAGTAAAATTAAAATGTCATTGATGAAGATACAGTATATAACATCCGGAATATCAAGATGTGTTTTATTGATTACTTTGTATGTTAAATTATTTATCCTTTATTTTACTCTCTGCAGCAATTGTTTCTTATCATCAAGGTTCATGCTTTAACTGAAATGTAATTTTCTAAATTTATGCTGTAACTGCTCTACAATTTATATGACTATTATTGTAAAATCCACACAGAATCAATATTAAATCCAAATCGTTATTTGTAATTTATGTAATAATAATTTAATACATGACATGTCTGTCATGTTTGAGTCACGCATCAGGCCACTTGTGGGTTTGGAAGCTTTAGTAATATTTATTTCTACTTTTCTAACTAAACATTCGGTAGACAGGTGCATTGGAAAGGGAAATAATGCTAAAGTACATTTTTAATTCTTGCACTGTCAGCCCTCAGTGGACCTTTGTCAGGCATGAAATTCACAATATGAAACAATATCTTTACACTAGAGCCACACTGCAGACTGCATTCCTATCCCCTTTTGATTGATTGTTTCAAATAGTATAAAGGTGATGTTTCATATTGTGAATGCCATGCCTGATGAAGGTCTGTGACTGAAACACCCACTTTTCTGCCATTTCCTTGTGTTTATGTTTATGGGGTTTTTTTCTGTTTCGTTGCACATAGTTAGTTTGACCATAATTACGGCAGGGAGACACTGACACATCAGTCGCACCTACAGGTGCTCTGACTAACAGGAAAAGTCCTGGGTTCTTATGTGCTTATTCATTTCTGTAGACATTACAGCATTATAATTGTAGGAAAACAGGCAGGTCAGGGAATTCAGTGGATTTTCTTTAGTTTACATCTCATTGTTTCATTCACACCTGAAGATTAAGTCGAGTTTGTCTGTTTATTTTCTGTTTTTTTCTGTCGTGTCTGTTCTGCCATTGGTTGTTTCGCTCTGTGAGCAGTGCATAAGTCAATGCCCCCTCTCACAGAGATTCATTGAATTTACTCTAAGTGGTCTAAGTGTACACTCCTTTCAGCTTTCATTGATCTTGTGGGAATCAATTCAAAACCATATTCATTTTTGTCTTCGTTTTTGGAAATGATTATTCTAATTTTTCTGTCATGTACCATAATGGTAGCTGCAGTTCCGGTAAGTAGGCTCACTTATTGACTGTATTTTAAAAACAATGTTTGAAATACTATTTTCTGTGTTGAAAATAGTGCTATTAGCTTAACATGTATTTAGTTACATTAATTTAACATCTGACATCAACTTGCTGCTTTGACAATGATCATTTTTCAGATTAAATTTTTCTTTTATATTTTCAGGTCCATCCTAATGTCCTTCCTCCCCTCCTTTCACAAGGAGGAGCCACTCAAGGTCAAACAGTTCAATCTGTTGAAGCCACAAACCAGAAGACTCCGGCCCCGCTTTCCCCTATTGTGGAGCAACCACAGCCTGGGGTCTTCCAGCAACCAGGTTCCCAGGGTGGCACCCAGTTCTTGCCTGCCATACAACACTACACCTGGTCTCCACTAGGGGGCAGTCCAATGATCATCCCTTTGCAGCCGAGTGTCCAAGGATCTCAGCCAGCTAACCAGCCGACACTCCCACAGCAGCCTCTGGTGGGACATAAAGAGAAAAAAGCATCAAGAGAAGAATTTGCAACAAAATATATTTAACTCTATTTTAAAGCTTTTTTTTATTGTCTGTGATTTTAATAACACCAGTGACATAAATCCCAGATGTTCTGTTCAGTGAATTAGAATGCAACAAATTTTAAGTTTGTTTTATTGCTGTATTTTTCAGATGTTCCCTCCTTATAGATACTTTCCTCTTTTCTCCTCACCCAATAGGAATCAGCTGGTAAGATATTGTTAAGAAATACACAAAGACAGATCTTTCCATGCACTACAAATGGTACTGCATGTACTGCTCTGTGCTGTACTAGAGACTGTAGATGCACAAAATATTTTTCCACCACATCCCAGCTTGAAAGATTTCACCTGGGGGTCTTTAACATACTTCTGTTTTTTTCCCTGACATGTGCTGTCAACATTTACGCTATACAATCACTGAAACTTCCATAACTGACGGTGTTGTGGAAATAAAGACATCTGTACTTTGCTGCAATCTGTCACTTGATTTATGTATCTGAGATAGAAGCTTAGGTACTGTCTTGCCTTGAACTATTTTAATACTTTTCAATACTTCTTATTGTCTAGGTAGGAGGGTGTTAGAAATGCTATTTTGCCTTGTCTAAGTGCAGAAATTGTTGACAAATATTTAAAGTAAATTGCAAATTATGTTTTTTTTAATTTCCCTCAGTTTTCAGAATATGGATTCCCAATGATTCTTGAATCACCTCTTCCACAAACTCCAGCAAATCAACCTCAGACCAGTCCAGTGTTACCTGCAGAAACAGCTGCTCCTTCAGGAAATGCATTTCAGTCAATGCAGCAACAGGTGTCTACATTTATAATCTTGAATCGGATATAAGTGCTCAAATAGTAAAAAACATAGCATATTCTAAATTGCATTAGACTCAGACTCGCTCATTTTCATTTACAGAATCCCCAAATCCTATACATCCTCCAGCAACCCATGGTAAATGCAACATACACTCTGTAAACTTGCATATAATCATGATTAATGCTCTGTCTGGTTTCATAATTTTATTTCTGTTTTGTTTTATTGGACATTTGCTGTCATTCTTTACTAGAACTCTCCACTTGGCAGTGTTAGCTCAGAGGAACTCGAGGTAACACAGCCAAGATTTTTATCTGTCTCTCAGCTTGTTCAAACAATCTGCTCAGTGAACTCAGTGATCCTACTGATGATCCAATAGTTACCCCTCCCTCGCCTCTCACAGTATCTTTCCTCTCTTCTCTGCTTCAGATGGCAGCTAAAATGGGCCAGCTGGGTGTGTACATGCCCCCTGTGCTCACAAACCTGCCTGCAGGAGCCGTTCAGCCTGTGAACCAGGCCGTGGGACTCACAAACCCAGAACAGCAAGGCATCGTGCCAACAGAGGCGACCTCGTCAGCTACTGTCCCACAGACGCAGGGGCTGGCCAGCTCTGGACCGCAGCCGAACACTAATGGTGTCCCTGTGGGTTTGGAGAGACCAGCGAAAGAGGCAGCCACTATCCAAACACCTGCTCAACCCAAACACCAGCCCACACAGGGAAACTGTGTCTGAGACTGCAGCCTCCAGCCGAGAAAACTCATAACATACTGAGAAACAACTTACCACATAATTCAAAAACTCAGTGGACTATATGTATCATTAGGTTTCTCGTGCATTTTCCTTTATTTGTTACCATTATTGTTTTTCCTTTAAATAAATTAAATCCAATAAAAATAACTTAGATTAAACCTATTTTTTGTTTCCCTTCTTTAAAATAATGTTTATCCATTGCATGTTTTCATGATTTTAGTTAAAATGTATTTCTTTCTTTAACCTGCCATGACTGACTTTTTTTGGCCAATTGGGTGCACTGAAAACAAGATCTGAAAACAAAACTGACATATTATCACCTTTTAAGTTGATATGATGAACATGTTACACATCCATCACACACAGAGTAACAATAGCATTAATTTCGAGTCAGGTCTGTGTCCATCCAGTCAATATAATTCCATTATTCACTCTCCTTTTAGCTCTGTTTTTGGACTCGTCCACCTCCTAGGGGAAATATCTGGCACTTTAGCTTCAAAATACTCCACCATGTTCACCAGCTAGTTGCTAACTCTGTCTGTGTGTAGTTTAGTGCCGAGCAGGTAGTGCACAGTGGGGTAATACAGATTTTAAGTTGAAAACAGCTGCCTGCTGTGGCCCCAAAAAGAGGTTAATGACAGCGGTGAAACTGAACCAAAACAGTGAGCTTAAAGATGCCCAAATTTTCCATAGAGGAACTGCTTAGTTAAGTGATAATTCTCTGTGGGTTCGTCACTACAAGCAAAACCATCATTGGTAATGAAAGAATATTAATTATAGCAGCTTCAATATATTAAATTTCATGTACATGTACTTAAATTGTCACTGTGACTTTATTTGTTGCATACAGCAACATCCTTTGGTCTTTAAATTCTACCTGGGTTTCATTAAGTTTGAGTAGTTCTCACAAATACTATATGTATATGAATTTATTAACTAAATTAAATTAAAGTGTTTTTCTGACCAGCACCTTAATGTAAGTCAAATCACCATGGTCCTTTTCTTCACAATGAAATTTGCAGCACTTCCCACAGGCTCTCATACAAGTGACTGTTTGACTACTGTGTTTTCTTTATTAAATTAGGTCTTAACAGGCCTCAAACTGGAAGAAATGGTAAAACTGTATATTTACTGTAACTGAATAATTATAAAATTCATCATCCAGACATCATTAGCTATAAGGTACATGGGACGTCTGTGATAAGATGTGATATTTTAGAATGACCACCTAAATTTAAAAAAAAAATCTTTTAATAGCTTCACTTATGAAATCTGACTCCTATCCATGTGCAACCCTGGTGCCCTTTTTGGGTGTAAAGTGTGAGATGTTGCAAGCAGGCACCTGGTAAAACACATCGGTGAGGGATCAAATGTGATTAATGTGCATTTCAAGCCAAAAATGAAATGCACCGATATAGCTGCCAATTTAGTAATCATAAAAATGAAAATCCTTGGCTGATTGCCAAAACCTGTCATAGGTTTGCTCGTCCTTTTTTTTCCTGACAGCAAATAAATAGGAGTAAATTGCTCTCCACTACTCACACCCCTCCTCAACAATCCTTCAGTGATCGTGTGCTGCCAGAAAGGAAAGGTAATGTAGATATCTAATATCATATGACATTCATTCAAACAGAATTAAAATAATTGAATCTATTTAAATGCTGTTTCAAGTGATGCAGTGAATATTGTCATGTCTAATAACTAAAAATCTCTTTCACAGCTTCATTCAAAATGAAATTCATCCTGCTTGCTGCCTGCATCCTTGGGATGGCTCTCTGTGCCCCTGTAAGGAAAACACCCTCTATTTTAAAAATATATCTCCTTCTTATCTCTCTCTTGAATTATAGCCCTGTAAATATTTGACAAACTAAATCTTACCTTAAGATCCATGTAGCTGTTTTGGAGCTTTTAATCATATCACATAATTTTTATCAGCAGATGGAGTTGTAGATGGTCCAGTTTTTCGAAACACTTTAATTAAGGAACTCCCTGTGCATGTTGGTTGTGTAATGGAGGTTGTCAGTGAATAATATTTACCAACAAAAGTTTGTCTGAATTATTGATTTTATGCTCACCTGCATTGCATTGATTCTACAGTATTTTCTCTTCTTTACAGCACGAGATGTTCATGGAGTTTGACATCCATTATGCTCCGCCTCAGGTACAGTAAGACGCAGCTTAGATCAACTGGTTTGTATCATGACATACACACAAAAACCACAGTAAAAGACACATTTTCAAACATTACTGAATATGCTCTGCACACAGGTCTGCTATTATGTGTTCACCACTGATGCAATGACTCTATAGCTGAGCCTGGTATTGGCTGTTTTACTTGTAGTTTGCTGCTACCCTCATCTAAAGGTTAAAATGAATAATGTGATCTTCCCAGGCGGCCCAAGCTATTCCTGCTGGAGCCCCAGTTGGAACCCTGGAAGTTGTAAGAGCTCATTTAAATTTATTTTACACATTTTCTATGAATTTAATCTAATAATCACTCTTTCGTGTAATAATCTTGACTTTTTCATTTCTAGCTCCTCCCAGTTGATGCCCAGAGACAGCCTGTTGGAGGACCTGTGAGTGACACAGTATAGCTTGATTTCTGTGTGCATATAGTACTATGCTGACCCTTAATCCACATATTTTAAGATGCAATGAAAGCCAACAGTACCATCTGAACGAAAGGCAATTCATAGGATGTTCAGTCCAACAAAAGGCAGTTTCAGAGCCCACATGTATATCACAGAGTGGAGGTAGATTACGGCTGAGGTACTGTAGATTTAAGTGCATGGGTGTGCTTGCATGTGTTTTCAATGGAAGGTCCGTGGCTTCATCAAGCAGGAGATCCCTCAGCCGAACGGTAAAAGCAAGGAAGTGGTAAGTGCCTGCAGATTATTCATTAGTCTGACAAACGTTAGATGAGATGTTATTGAACTTAAGACCTCATCTCTTTCTCATCTGTTTCAGTTCATCCCCTTCGGCTTTGAGCCGGCAGATCCTGCTGCTGCTGCCCCTGTTGCTCCTGTCGATCCCGTTGCTCCAGCAGCTCCAGCTGCTCCTGCTGCTCCTGCTGCTCCTGCTGCTCCTGCTGCTCCTGCTGCCCCTGTTGTACCTATCATTGCTGCTGGTGCCCCTGTAAGAATGACTGTGGATTTGCATTTTAAGCCATTTAGGTTTATTGAAGAATCAGTAAGACTCACTGTCAACTGTCAACCATATCAATGGTTTAATTGATTTTTATGTACAGTAATAGCTTCAAATGACCGCAACAGGAATGAAACTGAATTGAATTGATGTGATTATGAGGACAACAGGTCCATTCTAATAAATGAGTATTACGTAAGATAAACAGTCTTCCAACTATTTTTGCTGAGGTGTTGAGAAACACCGACTTGTCAGCAGAGATGTGACAGATCCTCACTCCTGATTGGCTCATCAGAAGTCTCTGTCATTTCAGGTTGACGGACCCGGGGGAGATGATGATGATGATGACGATGACTAAAAAATTCGAGTCAGCAGGACGTGCACACTTTTGTGCCCAGTCAGGTACACATGCACGCAGAATACACATTCACATATTTACAAGGCACAGAGTACTGTACTGTACAATTCAGACAAAATAATTTATGAAATCTGAGGATCTTGTGTTCTCTCTCTGGTTGACTGTTTTTGAATATGTGAACACTTCATCATGAAAAGAACAGAGAAGATGTATTTGCTTCCCTTCACACTAGGTGACCAATGCATTAAGACCAGCAGCCCACCCCGGTGAAAGATGGCCAGCCAACAAAGCTGTTTGAAAAACATGGTGCTGTGTTTTTAAAAAGAAAGTTTTTAGGGAGAAAATGATTCTGTCTTTTGATTCAATGCATGTTGGTGTTTCCTCAATCAAATTTGCTATAACTGTGCTTCATAATAAATAAAATAAAAACTGGTCCATTCTCTTCTGGTTCTTTGTTTCAAGCAACTATGCATATCATTCATATTGTGCTGAGACAAACACACCTAAGTGCTCAATTGCTTTAGTAAGATTCTGTAAAATGTTTTTGATTAATCCTCTACAAGTTGAATTTTTACATCTTAAAATGCATGCAGACTATAAGATTTCAAGATGATTCAAGCTAATATATGAAGGACTCTATTTTCCAATAGTTTAAATGTGCATTTCACTTGAGCAAAAGACATGGGAGTTTCTAAATGTATCACATTCAGTACTTTTATCCTCAGTTGTCTGGATAGACGTGTCTCTGTGAAGTTGTTCTGCTCTGCTGTTGTCATTATTGGAAATAAACTTGCGAGCAACTGGAAAACAAACAATATTACATACTTACATACTAAGTAATAGACATAATATTACTGTTTCAGATATTTATGCCACAAAGTTGCAGTTGCACAGAACCAATGAAACTGTCATGATGGCAGAATGAGGAGCAAGCAGAGTGAAGGTGTCCACTGCTCTAGACAGTGTAATCAAATAGTCTACTATTACACAGAAAGTGGATTTGACCACTGATCATTTAGTAAAGCTGAAGACTAGACACCTGTAGTGTAACTGCTCATTGGGAAAAATCACTCCCATCCGCTGTGATTGGCTGTCAGGTGCCCTGGCACCCTATAAAAGAGAAAGTAATTCTGTGGAAGATACGATCTACTGGCATCATCTCCAGCATCAACATTCCTCATCCTCTGGTGTTTTATCGCAGAAGGTGAGTTATGAAGAACTTCAACATAAGCGCATGCAGGCTTTTTTAAAGGATGGCAACCATCCTGTATGACTTTGACTGGAAGTTCTAATGCATTGTGTTGGTAGGACTTGGATAATCTGCAAAAATGAAACTGGCCATCCTGTGCTTCTGTCTGGCTAGCACAGTCTCAGCTGCACCAGTAAGTGTGCTCTCATGACTTATAATATATTCTCAGTTCAGGCAGTGTTCAGATTTTTCTCTGATCTTTCTCCTTCTATTTCTTTCTGTCTTTGTCTTTGTTTTCAGTCCTTCTTTCATTACCTGCCTCATTACGCAGGTTCCCGGCAACAGGCACCACCCTCACAGGTAACCACGCATATTGTGTGCCATTTAAGTTTAGTGTTAAAGGTTATTGTTTTTAATATGCAAAAAAATAATAATATATAGCACACTAGAGAGAAAATGCTCCTTGTGATACAGAAATGAGGAAAAATATACAGAAATATAGCTATGTAAAGATCAGTGTCTATTGACAATTCTGACGATGTTACATCCATTTAGGTGAAAAATCCCTTCCCAGCTGGCCTTGGAATGCCTGGCGCTTACAGTGTGGAACTAGTATGTCAGACTCTCTCTTTTCTTATATGCAGACATTTCACTGAAATTTGCTTTTTTTAATGAAATGTTGCTCTTGCTGTGTACGTATGTTTATTTGTGTTTTGTTTTTTCTTAGATTTATCCCCACAGATTTGTTGGGGGTGCCGGTGGATCAAACCCTGCACAGGTGCACATGCACATTTGACAGGAGCATCTTCTCTTTTAAGAAATGGGGTAAAAACATCAACTAACTGCCTTTAGCATTTCTTTCTCTCTCTCTCTCTCTCTCTACAGCCCTTTTCTACCCATGGCTTCATCAAATACTCCATTCCTCAGCCACCAGGCAGACAGAGTGTAGAAGTTGTGAGTGCTTGTTTTTCCCCCTAGATTACACACACTGACCAAAAACACTTTGATTATTGCTTGTAGAAGTACAATAAACAACTTGTTGATCAAGATTTATTAATATTTCTGTGCTCTTGTTTTTTTTATTTATTTTTTTTACATTTGCAGTACTACCCCTATGACTTCTCCCAGCAAAGGGTAAACATTTTAAAACTGAGATATTATATAATGCATAATGTAAATATGAAATGACTTCTACATTTTACAGGGTAGAGTACTAAATTGGTGTATTTGCTTTTGTTCCAGATATTGACAAACATGCCTCCTATGGCAAACGTCCCTCACTTTCCAAATGTAAGACATTACTTACTCTAATGATGACTTGTGCTGTTTGTTTTCATATTTTTCATATGTCATAACATACTCACCACTTTTATTTGTTTTTTCACAGGCACTCCCATTTGATTACCCACCTCAAAATATTCCCCAGCAAATCCCAAATGTAAGAAAAATAAATAATATATGTATTTCAGTTTGAGGATGTTTATTTGATTGACTGTTTCTTTTGTCTCATGGTTCTCTTTTTCTTTTTTCCAGATTCCCTCATTTGATGCCAATCTTCTTCCATCCGAAGATCCCCTGCAACCTCTCCAGCAGGACCAGCCCACACAGACAAGCCAGGTAGTTATCAATCTACATATTACAGTAAATATATTAACATTTATTAAGAGTTGTACTGCAAATGAATATGCATATTGAAAATTACTGGTGATATGAATAAAAATCTAATGTCATCTGTGTGGAGAGCATGGAAAACAATATTTAACAATATTTGTTTTAAATTGCTGACTTGTCTTTACAGATGCCGGCGAAGGTGTGAAGTGTGAAGAGACATAAAAAGAGGCAAAACAGTTCCTTCCTCCTTTATATTCAGACATCTGCAGTGGAACAAACAACATTTAATGATTCAGACTAAATCTGTTGTTTCACATGTGCCTTTACTAAAGAATAAAATGCTAAGATGATTATAAAATAACCAATTTAGAATACTATTGCAATAGTAAACTAAATTGTGACACGGTTATGTGCATAGCATGAAATATAATTCTGCTTTACTTTAGATTCACAATAGAATTTAAATATAATTGTGTTAATGAAGCACTTCGTAATGCTGCATTTCCACACTACATAACAAATGTGCTGCATATGTTCCTTAACTAATTCCACTTCTTCTTAAATGTCATTTTCCTTAAGGAATAAAGTCTAAGTTTTCAAGCAACTTCTGCTTTTGCTGTGTTTAATCAAAGAGTTTTTATGTTGTTGTTGTTGTTGTGGTGAACACACAACTGTAGGGCTGCAAGTTATTTTTCATTACCCTGTTGGTTATCGTATGTAGGAAAAACACTACTTTAATAACGCTCATTATGGGGCATTGCCCTAGAAACAAGGAAAACAAATAAACTAAATAAATAAATGAATAACTTGATTATTTAACCAATCAGTCTCTTAAGTAGGAATTGAATTCCAGTTAAAGAAAACACACCAACAACTTCTCACAGATGAAATAACATTTATTTATAGTTAAATCCCTAAAAGCCTAACTGAACAAATGAAGGAAGAAAATAAACCTCATCTTACTGGCAACAGTGAAGTATGTGATCTGATGATTAAAACAAAAGCAGTGAGATTTAGGGCAGTTATGGGAATTAACATATTTTATTTAGTCAACTTTTTATCAGAGCAAAACACACGGTTAAGGCTACTGATTTGAAGCACTGGCAGAAGCAAGATGTTCCCATTGGCTTTCCGGCATTGTGTGCAGGGTTGAGGTCACCTTGTAGTGGGAGGCCTATCTGTACTCACTTAGGAGCCCAGGCCATGCTCCAAGTTGAGAGATGTCATTCCCCGAGCAGATGAGGGCTCCCAGCCGTCCTGACAATCTTGTTTCAGGGCAGATGGCAAAGGTCTGGGCCAAGGCCGTGCTGTTAAAGTTCTCAGTAAGATGCAGGATTCAAAGTTTCTTCAGTTCTAACCTTTGCGTGTTAGAACACAGCATCTGCTGCATCTGTGATCTTCTGGCTTTTCAAATAAAATATAAGTATCTGGCTACACTAAATTCTTCAGTTAGGCTTGAATTATTCTCTTGGCCAGAGAAGAACTGGAAATAGTGTGCTATAAAAATCGCTATTATTTTTTTTTTAATTGAAAAGGGCCCCCGCCCTCCAAAGAGCCCCAGCTGACACGCAAGAATTGAATAATTCACCCATTTTTGAAATAGGCGGGCCTACTTATTTCACTCAGCGTGAAGAGACATTGACATGGGAATAAGGGGTGATCATATCTCAACTGCGTGTATGTGTGTAGTGGCAGAAGAGGAACACTTGCTGAAGTTATGCCAGTTGTCCGCACCTCGCGGGACTTTCGGATAAATTATCCACACAAAGAATTTTTTATCGTTTTTAAACAGCTGGCTACTTGAAATAGACCCGCGGGGGAACCACGACGTGCATGCAGTTGTTGGCAGCAGTAATGCACGGAAAAAACTCTGCACAAGGCCGGTGAATGACAGGCAAGAAAGAGAGAGAGAGAAAAGGGTCAAAGAGCAAAAACAAAAAGTGTCAGTTTAGCCCCCCCCCCCCCACACACACACACACACACACACACACACACACACACACACACACACATTAAAAACTAGATACTATAGTAATACTATGGTTCATTTTCACAAGGGTGGGGTTGGTCTGCCGTTTTTACATTAGAATACTCTAATATACAGCAAGTAAAGGGTAATGGTCTCAACTATAAATAAATATGACAATGTCCCACATTAGCTCTTAAAAAGGCCCCCTGGATGCTAAAGGCCACCCATGGCACTGAACACTCATTTGTATACAGAGTAAAGTGCTAATAGTATTTAGCTAAGACAGACTATTTTTGACCTTAATAGACTGAGAGGGCAAGGGAAGAAAGTTCCCCTTCGAGGGAACTCGAACTGCGTCGGTGACGACACTATGGGAACGCCTCTGGGCGTGGCAGGGCTGAACTATGAATGAAACTACCTCAATCCTATTGGTGTTACTAGAACAGTAGTGTGTGACAGTGTAACCGGAGGGGTATATAAGCAAGCCGGCACACAGGACACATTAGCTTCTTTCTATTCAGCAGGCACTCTGGCTATGTTTGGAAGCTCCATCATCTTACCTAAAGACGAGACGAAGCAGCAGATCATGTCGAAGCGATTCCGACAGTGGGTCTTTCCCTGTCAGCGCTTCATCATGGAAGGTGATAACCATGGAATGTGAACCATGG